CGAACCTGCACTTGTGCCTCATGAGTGGGTGTTTGGGTTGACTTGGCTTTACTTAAAGCGTTTCCAAAAAGATAGCAAAGTCTGATAAAACTTCCCTTTGAGAATGACCTCAAAGGTAAAAATTATTCATATAATTAGAAAAAATAATTTTTAACTGAATATTATTTATAGAACTATGTATTAAATAAATTACATTGTTTACTATTTTATTTACCTTAAACTAGATAAATATGATAAAAAATTCCATTTTGGGATGTAATTATTATTATTATTATTATTAATTGTTCAGATTTGGGTTAGTTTGTAGTACTGTATGTATATTTAGCTATGTAAAAATATGGTATGTCCTCAATTAGATGGCCAAGTAAACATGTCTGTTGGGGGGGCGCAGAATGTTCCACCGACTTCCTTAAAGTGAGTCTCTGCTCCCCTGACAATGCAAAGCACTGAACGCACAACTTCAGTAGAGAGGAAAAAGTTTCCAGTAGATTTCCCTGATGTCTTCCTCTCTCTGGCTATGTAAGGCTCTGGAGATTTCTCCATCTGTTTGATGAGTTTAAGAATGATCCGTTACCCATTTAATAAAAGCTTGCTTATTAAATGTATATGTTATTCACATTATTAGTGCTGCTTTTAACAAGGATGTCAAGAATCATGTTTGCGCATCTTTTGTAAAGTCTCCAATCTTGCTCTCGATTGTTTCTGGGGACAAACGTGAGACCACAGCTTGTGTTTTTAGTTCTTTTGAGGTCATCTGACAGAGTCCAGCGTTAGTTTCCTCATAGGCCATTATGAAAGATCTCTTTGTTCCTGCACCACAAAGCTCACTTTGATCTTTTTATATTAAGTATTTCCAGCCTTGTAATGCAGGCTGGGAGGAAAGAGAAAATGAGGAGCATGTGGCTCACTTGGGTCAGAGTTGAGCTTTATGATTCAAAGCAGTGGGTAAATGCCCAATAAACCCTTCCTTGTGTTGCTTTATTTATATCTTGGCACACAGATATTATTTATTTATCAAATGTCAGATGCTGTGACCATCAACAAAGATAAAAGTCACATTGATTTGTTTGAATGTCAGGCTGGTACCAATAGTTTTATGGCTGGGCCCTGGAGGGCAAGCGGCCTCCCCGGCTTTGATTGGGTCAGTTTATGATGTGTGAAGTATTTTATTTCCTCTCTGCTGTTCTCACTTTAATTCACGTATTTGTAAGTGTTTGTATAAGGTGGTTGCTTTTCCTTTAAGATTTATAGGGCTAATGTGGTGTTCTGCTAGAAAATAGTGCTTGATGCTCTTTTTTTATTTCAGATAAATACTGGGCCTTTTTGAAGGTTTTGTTCTGGTGGAAACTTTGCATAATGAGTCAGCGTTGCTCGTCTGTAGTTGTTCAAAGCAAATGTGCGAGTTGTTTTTCTGCTCTCGAAAGGCTTCCGCCTGTATCTGTAAGGAACAAAATGCTTTTAACTTTCAAACTTTTACCGTCTGCTCTTTGTAGACAGTCTTGGCTTTAAAAGTCAAAATGTGTCCCTTCAGGACAGAGCTGCTGTGTTCAATAGGGGCTCATTGTGTGCGAGTAGCGTGCCTTTTCGCCTTGATAAGTGTGTTAGATGGGAGTTGAAAAGGAAGGCCCTCGGGCCGCGATCCGACTCCAAACAAGTGACATGCGGAGGCAGGATATTTTCTTGTCACTCGCGGTCCCTCTGCTCTGAGCCCGTTCTTGTGGGTTTGTCTGTTGTTCGCCTTTTTTTCTCCCTCCATAATCATTTCTCTCTCTCTCTATTCCCTGCCTCTTTCGCTGTTGTCATTGGGCTTATCCATATGTTGACAGTTTAGTGGTTTTTCCGTGTGTTGTTGTGATGGATGTGGTTTTCAGATCAAAGGAAGGTGTGACAGGCGAGAAAAAAGAGAAAAACTCATTTCACTCATCAGCATGAGCCTTCGTCTCCATTTTCTCATACAGAAACTGAAAAAAAATGCTATTTATATTGCTTTTTGCTTGTGACTACATTTTAATAACAGCTTGAGTTGAATTTTGTGTTTTTGGAAACCATAAACAAGGGTTGCTGCAGTTATGAAAATATCAAGGAATTTCAAAATGATAATTTCCAGGCCTGGAAAAAAATCATGGCAATTAAAAAATGAACTAAAGTCATGTCCAAGATATATTAAAGGGGTCATATGATGATGCACCAAGAGCTTGTAACACTCCAAAGAGAAAAGAAAAATTGACATTGCATCATATGACCCCTTTAAAATATTTAAGTGGCTATAAGTGGCTCTTTGTGAATGCAGTCTCTAGAAAAGATTTGTAAAAATTCTTATCACAAATGACTGGAAAAGTCTTAAGGCGGGCGTACACGGTGCGATTTTTGCTGTCGCGGTTGAACGAGACCATTTGGTGATCCATCTGAAGTTGACCAATCAGAAGATGACAAAAACCATATAGTCTATCAGTTCTATTTTTTATTTGTTATTCCGAATGTGCCAAATTTGCTGTTCAGCTTTATGAATGAATATGCCTGTTGTATTTCCGGCAAAACGAGCAGAAATTCAGAAATGGCCTAGGCTACTCCCTCGAGTTCTTTATGAAGAACAGAAAGTCCATGCTTTTCTCTGCTTTTCAGCCATTCTCTTTGCCATGTACTTTGTCTTGGTTTTTTTTTTGGAACGTCACAAGCCGCCTGCCACAAAGAAAACTATTTCGTCCTCAGAATCCATATTTTTATGAATGGCGCGAAACGTAATGCTTATGTCAGAGTTTGTAAAATCGTAGTAAATTCGTGTCGTGTGTGACTGCCTCCGTACGATTTTCGGATAAACTCAATCGTGACATGTGCCAGAGCTCACGACGTTCCGACCTTCAGAATCGCACCGTGTACGCCCGCCTTTAGAAATTTATTGGGGAGCTCTTAATATACACCTCTATGAACTAATTTCTTTTCACAGTTTAATATTTAAAAAAAATTTTTTTTTTAAAAAGGACAATGAAGGGAAAAAAATCTTTTAAACATGGGTGTTTAGATCAGAGGGTCGTGAATAACTGACAGCTTCCTAATTAAAGCCCTGGTCAAAGGAAGCGTTTCCTTTGCTCTTTCTCTCGTGCTTTCTTTCATTCTCTATCCTGGTGGTGGAGCACAGCGCCGGTGTTTAGGAAGGTTTATTAACGGGTCGACTGGTTAGCTCGGGGTAAAGCGGACAATTAGCATTATCCGCTGCCATATGCTGCCCATTGAGCCATGAGGCGGATACAAAGGCCCCTCTCCCACGCCGCCCTAACCTGAGATCACCAGGGGACTTCCAGCGCCGGGGTCACATGTGTGCGCCTGCACACCCACGGGAGCCCGCCGCAGCTTATGAACACACTCACTGCCATCACATAGGCACGTACTGCCGCCTCAGTAAGGTGCCCAGCCGCACACAGCTGGCTAAGCTGACTGAAAGGCTTTAGATGTTGATCGTAATGCAGAGTGTGTCATGACATGTTGCAGCCGTGTGTTTGTGTGTGTGATGAAGGGGATCTGCGTAGATCTGAAATATTAATGAGCAGGGGGATCTGACATTGGAAATTAGATGCAATTCATATTTGATTATAATTACTGCAATACTTGCCAATGCATTGTATATTAATTTCTCATTCGTAATAAGGGTAATGTATTGTTGCAATTTTTTAATTTAATGTACATTTTATTTTACAGTTCTGTTGTTCTGCTCAGTATTTCACTACAGTGTGATTAACTATGCATTTATAATAAATAATTAATTATTACAAATAAATCAAACAAATTTCAGATTTTATTGTGTATTATGTAATTTGGCACACAGATATTCTTTATTATCTGTCAGATGCTGATCATCATAAAAGATTAGTCACACTGATTTGTCTGATTTGATTTGGTGTAAGTAATTGACTTAATGATTAAAAATAATGAAAATCAATTTTGAACAAATTCAAGATTTTATGATGTATACAGTTATTGTCAGGGCATATATTTCTATATTTATTTCTAACTTTCTATACACTTTTATACACTTGATGGTTTGCCTCGTATCAAACATCTAGTGTTTCTCACAGAGAGTTAACATTTTATCATGTGGTTTGATTTTATTTAAAGAATAAAAGTTGCGATGATGCTGAGCAGAGGGAGAGGTTGTGTTTAACTTAAAGTAACTTGAAACATTGGGCTGCACATCTGCTCTTCGTTACAGGGATTGGTTCTTACAGACATGACTGTGCAGTCAGGTCCTCGCTGGGTGGAATTTAAATGGCAGGTGACACGGACACCTGAAAGTGAGGGCCCAAGTGAGTCTGTCTCGCTTAATGACAGATAATGAGCGAGACTCTCTTTAACATGTTTACCTAGCATTCTCTTTCGTGCCATACATGCTAGTGTCGTCTCTCTCCCTCTGAGAGGTTTTGTCCCATCTGGAGCAGATGAACTGAGAGAGCCACATTACTGGGCTGTAGCCTCATGCCTTTGATCCTCCTCTACTGGAATGGGCACTTCTGCAGCTGTAACCACTGCTCCGCTGGCCCGACCCGATCCAACCCCACAGCTCCTAAAATACTCTTGCATAAACACAAACGCATATGCACCCTAACGCTCTCGCCCTCGCATATTAATCCATTTGTTTTGATGCTTTTGTTCGGCGGGCATGCATGTCGTCGTCATTATATTACAATTAAGCACTGAAGCACACACTACGCTGCAGATAATCCTCCTTTTTTTTTTTATAAGACTTCTAAATTAGCCATCTGTTACATCAAAGAATTTGTAAATTGGCCATACGCGTTACAATGCATTGTTTGTGTACGCAGTCAGGTTTCTTGGTATGTGTGAATTAGACCGAGGGTATGAGGATACGCTTAATGACATGAGCGGGTTTGTACGATGGTCGCTCTCATTTTATAGAAATGACAAAAACAGCAGCCTATGTTCCCTCACACCTGTCTGTAAGCAGTTGTTCTCAGTCGTAATGTCTGATTTTGTTTTTCTTTTTGCAGGTGTATGCACCATCTCCCAGCTCAGATGACTTCAACAGAGACTCTCCATCCTACCCGTCCCCCAAACCCCCCAGCAGTGTGTTTGGAAGCACTTTCTTTGGTCAGTCATAATAATTTCATGTCATTTTTTGTTATTTTACCGTTCACTTAGTTTTGACTTTCTAAAGGAAGTCTTTTTTATTTTTTAAGGTCAGCCGCATTTATACAAATATGCAAGTGCAGACATGAATGCTTGGCCACAGCATTGCAAACGCATGGTTTTGTTGTACTGAACATGCATATCGCATACGTTCTTGCATTAGTGTGGCGGTAATAAATCCAGTACTAAAGAGGGTGATAGATATATCTTCAGATATGTTTGCTGTTGAACTAGTTGTGTTATCTTTGAGGTATATATTGATTTGAACTTGCTAACAGACTGTTGCACCATAATGACAGTAATTAAACAATCCATTTGAAATCGCATACTGAGTCAGATTAGGTACTACATTTAATGAGGAACAAACTTTGCGATCATTTAAAAGGACATTCTATATAGTATGAATGTGTATAGTATGAATGAAATCTGGATGTACAACATCTGCCATGCTGACTTTGTCATATTACCTATGGTGACAGTTGCATCACATCACTTCTATTCACACCTCCTCTCCCGTGGCTTCATGGGATAATAAAGTGTCCACATCAGAATTTTGGCAGAAAAAGTAGGTCATCCAAATACTTTTGCGCCTATTGTTTCATGCATACTATGAATTTAGGCATGCTACTCTCACATACTGTTTTTCCCCTACTATACAGTAGGGAAGTATGCTTAAGGCCCCGATATACTCAAAACGAAGTTCTTTTTCGTTCTTCGTTTAGGGGTAAAACGAAGTTTTTCAATAATGTTCAATAATAATTAGGTGTGTTCGACTTGAAGCGGTGCTGCGCAGACCGATCGGTGTATGACATCAAAGTACCGTGAGAGCTAATAGAGAGCAGACGGACCTGCATGATTTCTAATCACTCTCGCGGTGCTTTGATGTCAAACACCGATCAATCTGCACAGCGCCGCTTCAAGTCGAACACACCTATTATGATACACCTTGTTAGTAGCTTGTACCTCTGATTGTTGATCAGTTAGTTGATCTAGAAAAATGGAAAAGGCAGTAATTTTCCAGGACTTTATCCATTATCCGTTGTAACCCAAAAACACTAAATACAATGCGGAATTTAAAATGTAGGTAAAAAAACCTGTGAAAAATCAATATGGAAAATTTCTTCATATTAACATAGTAGACTATTTTTACAGGCTTTTCTTAGAGTGTAGCATACTAACAAACTACTAATACACTGCTTAAAACTAATTGTTCAGAATGTGCTAATAAAAAAAATTTACTAGCTAATAAAAAAAAACTTAAATTGTAATTGTTCAAAAATGTGCAAATGTTCAGTAATTTAATGTTGTATTTAAAAATACAGTTATTTATATTTTAATATTATTATATTATGCATTTATATTATTTTACGAACAAATCGAAATTAACATATATAAATTATATTTTTTGCTGAGATTTGATGCAGTGACACAATTTTGCGTCGTGATGACATCATCGCACAATGGCATCACATCGTCATTTAGCAACAAATCGACCTTCCTTTAGCAACTTCCCATTAAAATTAGTTGGCAACATTGTTTGCAGCCGCAACAAACTTTTCCGGAAAGTTCGCTTTGTCAAGCCATTTCGAACTCCCAAAACAAACTTCGTTTTGACCAGGTTTTGTTTGAAATGACGCCACATCAGTTATTTCTTCGATTTCGCTTGAAGTATATCGGGGCCTTTATTCAGATGCAGGGGACCAGAAAGAGAAAACGACTAGATGATATGCACAATATAGCATTGCAATGTGGTCTGACATATTGCATAACACATAACATTGAGCTTTAATAGCTAGATGCATTTGCATTCATGTACTTGCGTAGAGTATTCAGGCCAAACACTAAATTAACCCCTACTAAAAAATTTAATAAATGTTGAATATTTTCTAGAATGTAACAGAGATGCATCCTAGAAAGAGTCAATGAACAGGTCTCAAACGTATGATTCATCATGCTAATTTCATTTTTTTGGCAACACAATTCTCAAGTCGATTCTTCTTCCAGTCTACTTTAGTTATATAAACATTTTCAAACCCTGAACATACGGTTCCTGGTATGTTCCTTCCCCTAACTCACACTTTGAACCTTTTTTTTTTTACACAATTGGGAAGCCTTCTCTTTACGTTTCACTCATTGCCTATCATGCTACTGACTTCACAGACGTAGATAGTAAACCAACCATGCGTATTCCAGCGTTCCCAATCTGGACTGTTAAAAATTATATGGCCAGTTAAAGCCACGTGTTTCAGACTGTGAGAAATTTCTCCTTTAAAATTTGAGGCAGAAGCAAGTGAGCTGCGGCTGGCTGAATGTTATCTCAGCTGCGCTTAGCATTTGGCTCCGACTCAAGTGTAAAAGCAGACTTAAAGAGAGTCTATTTGACATCCTCTATCCAGAATAAGGAGTGTGGGGGTCAGACTTGGGCTCACGTATCAAACTGTGTTGTGTTTTTTCTTGTTTATCAGCATTATTGATCACATTAATGTCACCTTTGTCTCATTCACAATTTAAACCTTTCTCACCAACATTTACAAAGTAACTTACTTTAAAAGCTAGACAATGAAGATATTTGCCGTGTTTTTATTGTTCAAATTTACTTCCTTGTCACTTAATCAGATGGGACCCACAATTCCTCTGACCTGTGGAACTCGTCCAGTGGGATCAGCCAGCCAGGCTATGGGGGAATGCTGGGAGGATCTTCATCTCACATGCCACAGTCTGGAAACTACAGCAACCTGCACTCACACGACCGCCTGGTGAGAAGCAGTGGGATCAGATCAAATACAAACGTTGTTTTATAGCCATACATAAAACTAAAAAAGTTCCTCCTCCATTTCTCTGTCACAGAATTACCCACCGCACTCAGTGTCGCCCACAGACATCAACGCTAGCCTACCACCCATGTCCAGCTTCCACCGCGGCAGTGCCAGCACCTCACCCTTCGTCGCAGCATCTCACACCCCACCAGTCAACACCGCAGAGGGAGTTATGTGTATGTTGTCTGCACACATCACATTTGTAGTGTTGTTCTTGATTTATTAGTAGGGCTGGGTATCGAGTTTGATACTTTTTAGGCACTGACCGAATTGCCTCGATGCCAGTATCATGCGAGAATCGAAAATTGTCTTGTCATTCACTACCAAATTTCAATACCTACGGGGTTAATCTCAACAACGTCAGTGAGCCAGTAAGCGTGCAGCATGAATGATGTGCCTAAATCAAGTGCTGATTTCAAAGGTTTGGGGTCAGCCAGTTTTTTTTTTTTTTAATGAAAGAAATTAATACTTTTATTTAGTAAAGATTAATTAAATTGATCAAAAGTGACAGTAAAAACATTTCCAGTGTTACACAAGATTTCTATTTCAAGTAAATGCTGTTCTTTTAAACTTTCTATTTATCAGAGAATTCTGAAAAAACGCATCACAGTTAAAAAATATTAAGCAGCACAGCTTTGATAGTAATAAGAAATGTTTGTTGAGCACTAAATCATCATATTAGAATGATTTCTGAAGGATCATGTGACACTGAAAACTGGAGTAATGTCTGCTGAAAATGCAACTTTGCCTTCACAGAAATAAATTATATTTGAATATTAAAACAGTAAACAGTTATTTTAAATTGTAGTAATATTTTGCAATATTATTGTTATTACTGTATTCTTAATCAAATAAATCCAGATTTGGTGAGTGTAAGCGACTTCTTTCAAAAACATTAAAAATGTTTTGAACAGAATAAAAATTTAAAGTTTACATGTACAAAATAAAATTTATACAAAATTCATTCATATTTTTGGTAACACTTTATTTTAAGGGCAAATTCTCACTATTAACTAGTTGCTTATTAGCATGCATATTACTAGCATATTGACTGTTTATTAGTACTTCTGCATGACCATATTCTACATCCCTTATTCCTACCCAGTGTCTAAACTTAACAACTAGCTTACTAACTATTAATAAGCAGCACATTAGGAGTTTATTGAGGGAAAATCACTTATTTATTTCAACACTTTTTAAGTTTGACACACCTAACACCAGCTGCTACTCGCCAATAAAAAATACATGACACTAATATCTCTGTTAGCTCTGTTCCGATGTGAATGCCGTATCTCTGTGTGGTCTTTGTGTAGCTGCTGCCAACCGAGGGAACACCACTGGAAGCTCTCAGACTGGAGACGCGCTGGGAAAAGCCCTGGCTTCGGTGAGATCCTTCCCCATTCAACCAGACCTCTTAATCCATACACTAACCATTTCAGAGAACAGGGATTGAGTTCCATCTATATACATCCCACTATCTTTTGCAGGCCGTGCAATGGATAAGAGATATTATGTTATTATTTTAACTACTGAGCGATATACGGTTTCAGGCATCGTAAACATGCCCCATGCTGTCCAACTTGCTTTCGGGATCTTCGTGTTGTAGACGTGGGCAAGATTACCCGAAATAATGACGCAGTTAATTCTTTAAAGGACAGGACTTGTGCTCTTAGGCTGGGTATTAGTAGCAGTGCAGAAGGTTAAGAGATTGAATAAGGTCAGGGGATCTGTTTGTGGATGTTGCTGGACCTAAGCCCGGATAATTGTGCTCTTAATCTCGCAGTATACAAGAAAAGGAGCTGTACATAAAAGCCTGTGGATTATATGTTGGTTTGGATAATGAGTGCCGGCATTCGTGCGAGTTCCTAATGTGTCCCTGAAACTGGAGCTTACAATAACCTCTAAAACTTACCGAGCTTAATTTAAAGACTTATATAGCTCCAAAAAATCCTGCAGACTTGCTTATCCTACAGTAAGTCACAACAAGCCTTTTTTAAAGTAGGAACACATCTGGACTGATTCAGCACTGTTTCGGACGAGAGCCGTAGACTCACCTCTCTGCCGAAGACAAGGACAAGCTTTTTCTAACCTTTTGATGTCGGAACGGTCCTAGCACCCTCCTTTTTCTGAGAAATTAGATGCCTAATTGCTGCTCTTTTATTGAGGAAAAGAAAGAAGAGAAGGAAAAATGTAATAAGATACTGTGGGTGAGGCCTGCCGGGCCACGAGAGCACACTCTGGCACACAAACAAACACAAGACAGTGCGGCTGAAAGATAATCACAAATTAAGTATCTTTGTATTTGCAGACTCAATTCTATTAGCATGATAAAGCTGTGGTGAAACGGACACGGTCGGGCTGGGGTGGAGGGGTGAGGGAAACGTCCTAACTGCTGCGGCTCGGCTCTGCAGGCCACCCATTGTGCCACTTTTGTTTAGGTTCCTTTTGGATGGTTTGTGCTCATTGGGTCCCCGCTGGCGGAGAGCAGCATGACTGATGAGGGGGCGGAGATCCGTTTGTTGTTTGTAAATTGAGTGGTGTTACACTGGAAATACAGCAAAAGTTGGCCAGGACGCTCCGAATGGCTCGCTTCAACTCATTAGGTCAGGACTCATGACCATAAGAGGTCCTGAAGCACATGGGCGAAGGGGATGGGTGCTTGCCTGGCACAGTCGTGATGGGTCAGATACTGTGTTTCAGTAAGGAAACATCCAGATGAAATTCACTTGAAACGTACTGCTAAAGACTACATGCAAAATTGGGACTCAATATAATTTAAGTCTGGAAATAAACAAAGTTTTAGTATTTTGACAGCTTAAAAAACAGCAGCATTATGACATAAAGTGTATAATAAATATTTCAGATTCTTTACCATTTCGAGACTACTAATGAAATAAGTAAATTAGTGATGTTGATCATGTGGCTCTTGGTACAGATGGTCAGACTAAGGCTCAAGATGCTCTTTGAATCATCTCAAATCATGCTGGAGAACATGATCGACATGAACTTGTGGAGTTCATGCAGCTTAAGTGCTTCTGTCTTTTTTAAATGGAAGATAGACAAACCAAATACTAAGATGTTATGAAATTCATGTTCATTTTTCCAGTCAGCTTTTTTGTAATATATTCGCAATTAATAAGAAAAAATGCTATATAAAATGCTGTTAATATTGCAGAGGATTTCTTTCTTTGTATCTCTCTGTATATCACTCTCACTCTATCACTGGCCCCCTCTATCTCTCTCTCTGTCTACTCTGAGAGATGAATGTACTAAAGCCCCAGGCAGGATTTGCAGAGTTGATTGAAACACAAAAGTGTGGCATTCAGGGTTTAATAAGAAGATTAATAATGATAGTATCTGCATTTTGATGTGTTTTTAAGTCAAATGGACTTCATGATCCCCTGCAAGTGATGGCCCGCAACTTTAGAGCTGTTTTCTCAAATCCTGCCAGATAATTGGAATCAAAACCTGAATGTTTCATAGTGGTTTCCATTATGGGAGTGAAAACCATTTTAGCTGAATGCAGAGCATGGCAGGGATGTTTAGTTTCATCTGACATTTGGCTTAACCAAAAAAATCCCTTTTCTAGTTTCGAAGACAGAATTTTTGTGGAGATGGGTTTCTCACACAAATAACACCGGTAAGGTGGAAAAAGCCAGTCAGCGGTGCTGCACTATGAGGGAAAGGCTGGAGTCCTTTCTTCTTCATGGCATCTGTTTGTTTATTATGGTGTGGGCAGGGCTGTGCCTGTTTTGGTCGCTGTTTATTGGGCAGGCAGGGAGAGGCTTTATTACCTCTCATCCATAACTGAAGATGAGCCAGAGACGCCCATCCACACAGCCACGGGCCAGACTCATTCACTCTAATGAGCTCCAAAAAGAGAGATTAATGACCATGTCTTTTCTCTCTTTCTCTGCATCATCCAGCTGCTTTTCTCTATTCCATCTCCTCTCTATCATGTATTAGAAGTGACGTTATGGAGGCCATGTAAACAGAATTTGAGCATATTTTACAGTGGCTTGTCTATTCATGTTTATAATGTGTTACTGTTTTGAGTCTTTTGTTTTTAACTGAGGTGTAACAACACGTGAAGTATTATTTCAGTTTTGTTTTTTTTATGACCTTTGGTACGATCACAACCCTGTTATAAATAAATTAAATAATAAAGCAGACATTACTACAATGTCTTATAAAACATTTGATATCGCAATACTGTCACCGTACTGTAAGATTTGGACATGTCGCCAACCCCTAATGTGAATTATTACCACCAGTTTGTTTAGCCTTTTTCCTGCTCTCTTGCAGGGTTTCTGATCTTTTGTGCTCATGTGGTTTTCACTTGTGATGTGCAACATGCAGCGGGTGTGTGGCGTGGGCCCAGGCTTTGACTTAATATAACAACCACAGATGTGTCAGAGAGCCAGGGAACGCTGGCTGGAGTGCAGGTGTCACACAGCATTTAGAGTGCAGGAGGGGTTGTGTATTTTTCTGTAGACATTGTAAAGGGCGGTATAGGCTGTTAAAAGCCCATATGTATGCTGTGAGCATTTTTTTACTGCTGCTCCCCTTGTAAAATCAGCAGAATTGATGAGCCAATTTTGGCTGAGCACAGACTGAGGGATGCTAATAGGGAAACGACAGGTTGCAGGTTTTAAAGGTTGAGTGTGCTTCCTCACTGACTGATCTCTCTCTTTCTCTCACTCTCATTTGCAGATTTATTCTCCTGACCACACCAGCAGTAGTTTCCCCTCAAACCCCTCCACTCCAGTGGGCTCTCCCTCTCCTCTGACGGCTCAGGTGGGCGCTGGCACAGCAGGTACAGTGGTGACGGCCAGCGGCCCCACAGGAAGGGCAGGTAGAGCACCAGTCTGCCTCTCTGATCCCACACACACACACACATTCTCTCCATGCCACACGCTCACCAGTCAGTCACACAGTGGCCCTCAGAAGTATTTGGACACACTTAAAAAGATATGAATGCGTGGATCATATAACAAAATATTTTTAAGCAAGTTAAAAATCACTTTACTTACATTTTACTTTTTGTAATTCCATTTAATTAATCCCAAAGCCATTTTTAGTATATATGTGATGTCACAGAGGTGTCCTATTAGAGTAAACACAGCTATGGACATAATCCACTAAATTTTACCAGTAAATTTCAAAAATGTTTTTGTCCTAATTTTTAACACTATTTGTTTAATAATTCGTTTTTCATTTGAAAGCTTAAATGTTTTGTTTGTGCTAATAAGTGTGCATTTGCTACATTTTTCAAAAGTAAGTGCCAGTTTGTTATTTATTTGTCATCTAATGCATTGACATTGATATATTTAATGGGGCTGTGAATCATTTAAGTTTTTTTTAATCATGTTTAATTGCATATAATTCAGTATTTAGAAAAGGCATCAAATGAAGATAATGCAAATACATTATCGTGACAGATGAGTAAACCATTGAATGTACACTATTGGAAAGTTTTGGGTCAGTAAAAAAAAATTTAAAAGAAAATACTTTGTCAGCAAAGATGCATTAAATTGATCAAAAGTGACAATTAAGAAATAAAGAAATGTATAATGTTCAAAAGAAAATCTGTTTCAAATCGATGCTGATCTTGTAAACTTTTATTCATATATACAGTATATATATATAACTGTTATTTTACTGTAAATTTGATCAAATAAATGCAGCCTTGGTGAGGATAAGAGACTTAAAAGCCTTAAAAAAAACCTTCTGCCTCCAAACTTTTGAGTGGTAGTGTACATATTTAAAAATATTACTTTAATATATTGTTGTGTTTATCACTGACCTACAGCCTACAAAGCAATACATTTTATAAGAGTTTGTTAGTCTGTCTGAAGTATACTTAGGAGTCGTTCACAAATAACACATTCTTTTATGCTGTCCACTTTGTTTTTTAATATTTGGTCAGTGTAGATGTCCATCAAAAAGGCTATATCCTTTTTGAGGCCACTGTAGCTGTATCCCCGTCCTCCTCATGTAATTGAGTAAACACACTGTCCCTCATCTGCTGAGGTTGAAGATGGTGTCGGGTAGTGCTGGGCGGTATACCAGTTCATACCGAATACCGGTGTTTATTTTTGTTATGATATGAATTTTTTAAATACTGCAATACCAGTGTATGTCGCTTAAACAACGTTCGAAACGCGACACTGTTTGAAAGGGGTCCCTTTTCACTGTTGCACTGTGTTGAGGGGAACAGCTGTATGTGTTACTAAGCGTGAAAGTTCCGAAACTGAAGCTGTAGAACTAATAGAACGTGATGACACAGAAGAACTCATCCACAATATCCACGTTGACCACCACAAATATCCACCGCCCCCTGCCATCAGCTCCCGGCCGCATCTCACACACACACACAAGCGCGAATTTAGCACCTGGAATTATAAATATGAGCATAGTTCGTCTGTTAATATCACATGCACTTTTTTGTTTGTTGTTTTTTTTTTTGGTTACTCAGACGCAGACGCTGCATGAGACAAAAAAGTACGATGCCGCGATTATAAATGAGAGTGACTCCTGGTTAACATGTATTAAAAGGGGTCGTGTTTAGTCACTATTTAGTGTGGTATTTTTTGACAATATTCACTCATCATGACAGTAAAATAGGGCATTCTAAGTCAATATACTGCAGTATTTCCTCTCTCAATCAGTAGAAAATATGGTTAACACCCGGTCATGCATGAAAAAAAAATACAGTCATGCCTAGTGTCAAGGGAGTTACGCCCTGGTTAGGGGTGGATAGATAACCGACCACTGTGAAGATTTTATCTGCTCCTGACAAGACTGATGCACAATCATTTTCAATTAAAAAATATTCTGAAGCGCAGAGGGATAGACAGAGAGACTAGGTGCTACAAATGGCAGTTTCTCAGTGTGTTGTTTCAGTGAGAGGGCAGTTGTGTGTGTGTTCATTGATATAGTGGTGACAGCTGTGTCGGTGTCTGTCCCACTCCTTAGCTTCAGCTGTTGCCCTGTTCCTCACACAGCTGTTGCTCATGACAGACCGGCCTGCAAAGATCCTCATTTATTAGCATGACTGACTGAGAGGATGACTCAGCTCAGAGACCGCCTTCCTCTCCACTCAGCAGTCTGTACCTTACGATGTAACTTCCTGTCATCCTAGCACACCTTATGATTTACTATTTAAAGCATTCCTTTTATAAAATATATAATTGGACTAAATGTGTAAATAATGTGCATATTTTTAAATATGTTTTTCTGTTTTCCATATTTTATATAAATAATGTACACTGCCATTTAAATGTTTGGGTTCAGTAAGTTTTTTTATGTTTTTAAAAGAAGCCTCTTATGTTCACAGAGGCTGCATTTATTTGATTACAGTAAAAACAGTAATATTGTGAAAGGTTATTGTCATTTATTCCTGTGATGGCTAAATTTACAACACCAATTACTCCAGTGTCTTCAGTGTCACATGATGCTTCAGTTGTGCTGCTTAATACTGTTGTAGAAACTGATACATTTTTTCAGGAATCTTTGATAAATAGAAAGTTCAAAAGAACAGTATTTATTTGAAACTAATTTTTTTTACAATGTAAAAGTCTTTACTGTCAATTTAATGCATCGTTGCTAAATAAAATAATAAATTTCTTACAAAAAAAAACTTGTGAACAGTAATGTATATTTAAATTGAAAAAAAGATATAAAATAAGAAAATTAATTTTACTCAAAATTTATGAAAACATTTTTCGAAAAAACAGAACTCATTCACCAAATATTGTCTGATTAATCAAAATGTTGGTCTGCTGGTAGTATTTAGTCACATTTGGCATTCTTTCTGCCTGCAATTTTATCACATCATTAAGTTGATTTACACTCACAAGCAGGCAGTCAAAGTTTCCTTTGATATCTGGGGCCTTTTATATTTTGAAGTGTTTTTTTTTTTTTTTTGATTAGATGGTTCTTAGAGGTTGGTGCACATTGTTTCATGATGTTATGATTAAGCGAAGCACACATCCATCTGTTTCTCCGGATTAGTTCTTAAATTCAGTCATTAGACCCGCTCGTAGCCAGGTCTCTGCTGCCCATACCAGCAAATTAGACCCCAGCACCATGTGCGGAGTGCCACCCCGGCCCACGCTCATTTGTCAAGCTGGCTGCCGGTGAGGAGGCCTTATTAAACACTGCACTCTCTTCACATAGCCCCAAAGTAATTTTTAATAGGCCCTTAATAAGAGTCTGCTTCTGAGAGCTTTGTGGTTTTAAGAAGCGGATTCCTTCAAATTAGAGCTGCTTTTGCTTAGGGAAGGACGAATGCTTGGAAAATGTTTAACTAAACAACTTCCTGTCTCACACGACAATTTGTCAATTGTTTCTGAAGAAAGACTCTCACTATGCTGGCAGAGCTAGACATATGGCCACACCAGGCCCGTCGCAACAGTTATGACAACCAGCAAAATAGGAAATCTCTGGTGTCAACAAAGCACCTAGAGTCAGTGGTTGAGTCTGTGCGTGGTGGAGTCGGGTTGAAGGATGGGGAGCGCAGATCTCCCTCCTAAACTGATTTATGTAAATAAGTCAAAAGGCTTCCTTTGGGTCATGCTACATTAAGGGTACTCGGCCTTAATGCAAGACTTTTTTGTAGTGGATCGTTTGCCAGTTGGAGTGAAGTAGACTTAGAATTGAAGGGAGTGAAAGCAACCACCACCGTTTTGATTTGTGATTAGCAGATGTGCATTCTTTTAGAGCGGTGTTGATTTATGGCCAGTCAGAATCAGCACGTTTAGACCGAGTCCAGACCAGAGTCATTTACATCCTCATTATAGTCCCTTCCAGCCTCACACACACTGCCACAGAACAAAAACACATTCACTGAATTCTTCCAGCAACTCAGTGAATTTTGGCGAGAAAAAAAAGCAAAACATTGAATTTGGGGGCTGAGAATGTGACCAAGCCAAATACAATCTTATGCTGCTACTTGAATAATGTGGCAAAACTGTGCTTTTTCTTTTCCCTGACACCGTCTGATATGAGATTGGTCACATCAGCGCTCACTGTCCAGTAGTTTGTTTGTGCGAGTTGAGATCTGAGAGAGAGTCATGGTCTCATCCTGTTACGTCTAGAATATCGAGCTCCTCCGTTGAGCTCATACAGTATTAGAGTCAAGGGAAAGATGTTCAGGGTCCAAGTCATCGCCCTTATCGCGGTCCTGCATTGTTCGCCCAGGTTTTTTTAGTCATGACTTCATTAATGAGAGGAAGTAGGAGATGTCCCTCAGCACTGGTTTGTGTATGTATGCGTGTAAGGGTCATCCTCGAACCCTTCTCACATTGCAGGATATGACCCAGTCATAGGAAATGATGTGTCTGGAGACCTAAAGGAAAACAGCCCACGTTGAGAATAGCTGGAATCAGTCAGGAGAGGAAATGAGTTTTAGTCTATTGTAAATGTGTATGAGTGCATTGTACCATGTGCACTACATAATAAAGAATAGAATACTAAAGAATAGAATAGTTTTATATTATGAACAAATATTATATATATATATATTAAAAATACAGTTTATATCAACAACAATTAATGTGTTTATTAAATAATAGTTTTTATTCCAATACAATTTTAAATAACATACTTATTTATTTAAATGCCATTTGTTACAGTAAATGTGCTTAACCAATAACTTTCTCTCTTAGGTTTTTCTTTATATTATAATATATAATATTATTTATTTAAAATATAGTTCGCTACAATGAATGTTCTTCTTAACGGATAAGTCATGAGTTTCTTTAGTGTAAATAAAAGTATATTTTATTATATTACAAAATGCCATTTACTGTAGAAATGACAAGAATGAGTGTATTTCTTAACCGATAACTCATGAGTTTTATGAGTCTTTTAAATAAAATGTATATTATATTATATTATAAAATTACATTTATTTCAGTAACACCAACAATGAATGTGTTTTTTAACTCATAAATATTTAGGACTCTCTTAAATCTGTATTTTTTATATTTATTTATTTAAATGCCATATGTTACAGCTAAGATGTTCCTTAAACGATAACTTGTGAGTTCATTAAAAGAATCAGATCATAATCATTTGTTCATGAATTGGACTCCAGTGATCACGATGTTTGTTTTTGCGTGCAGTGTTTTTGTAGTAAAGACGATGCAATCAACACGTGGTGCAGAAAACACTGTTGTCAATTGTTCATTCAGATTTCAGATGATTACTTTTCACCTGTTGTAATGAAGCCAGCTTGTTGTAATGTGTCAAGTGACTTAAAACGCTCTTCTTCCTCTGTCCGCAGGTACAACTCAGTGGCCACATGCAACTGGACAGGCACCTTCCTCCCCAAACTACGAGAACTCCCTTCACTCTCTAGTAAGAGCGCTCTTCCTCCTCCTCCTCCTCCTCCCCTTGTCGCTGAGCACTTTTTAATGGACACTATGTCAGTAGATGACTTGCTTCTGGAGGGCAGGGGGTAGCTTTACATGGACATTCCTGGCTGACAAATGTCAGGAGCGGGACTAGGACTGGGAGGAGGCTGTGGGGACCGAACAATACCCGTCCCTTGAGGCGTGTCTCCTGCCATCTGTCCTCTCTCGTCTGGGGTGGATGGAGATTGGTCTGGGTGTGTGAAGGTGGGGTGGTTAGGGATTGGTCAGGGTGTGTGATGGGGATGGGGTGCTGGCAGCTGCTGTGTTCAACCACTGCCACGGGATTCCAGGGCTGACTGGGCAGCTGAGCCACAACAGGAGATCAGTTTACACACACATACACACACTTTTCTTCCCACGTCATACATTCACACTATGGGGTGTGTAGATAAATATTTACTCGAATACTTGTATGCCAGCTGCAAGTGCATTTTTATGGACCGTCCATGAGCAGCGGCCCTCCAGGAAACAGGGAATGAGCTGTGATTGGCAGAGTGAACCATGGCTCATTGTAAGTAGTTACTTGAACAAGTACCAAGATGTTGGCACTCAGCGCTCCCATTCGATTCTCTGCCGAGCTCTCGTAAACACTGCTTGCTTCTCTCTGCAGTCTTTCTGTCTCGTCTCTCACTGTGCGTGTCTCTCCTCTTCCTGTCTGACTGTAGAAAAATCGTGTGCACCAGCAGCTTCATGAGCATCTGCAGGATGCCATGTCCTTCTTAAAGGATGTCTGCGAGGTATTCACGCTCTTCAGACAGTCGCGTTCTGTCCTTCTTTTCCATTCAGCCATCGGCTTTCTTTTGATTTGGCTGTGCTTTTTCTGTTTTGTGCTTTTGTTAATTTGCCATTTCATCTTTTATTGGTCTTTGATGATGTTAATACATGAAAATGACCATATTGCAGTTAGTTGTTTATTCCTTTCACTTTTTCTCTCCTTTTCCTTTTCACTGTTTTGAAATGTTCATTTGCTTTTACAATGTTTGCCATTTCATAATTCTATGTCTTTAAAGTCTCTATTGATATTTGTTTTCATTTATGTTTGTGTTTTTTTCTCTCTCTCTCCCTCCACTTCTCCTTGTTCTCCATCGCTCATTTCAGTCTCGGATGGAGGACCGGCTGGACAGGCTGGACGATGCAATCCATGTCCTGCGGAATCACGCTGTGGGCTCCACTGCCGCCCTGTCTAGTGACATCCACAACCTGTTAGGACAAGTGCACAACGGTCCAATCTCAGCCATCGGCACCAGTTTCCTGGCTTCTGGATTGGTCACCAACCGAACAGCACAAATGGTAAGGAAAACTTCACAAACTGTCACAAAGGAAACTTTAGCTTATGTGTTTCAGAGCGTTCTGAATGTCTCATTGCTTTTGAGGTCAAAGTCTTGTCCGGTTATTACAGGCAATAGGGAGAGAAATGCATGTGTTTTTTCATTGTGCCTCTCCAAATAGGCTAATAAACAGAGTTAAGCCACCTGTTTAAAATGAAGGCCTGGCCATGTGCTGAAACTGAACTATTTTCCACTGAGAGCAGTTTAACTTAAACCCACATACTTTCCATAAGCGTAATGGCTGGACCGAGGCTCATTCTCCCTCCTTGAGCTGCGTTCCTCAGGCTGAATGGGAAAAGCAGTCACAGTAGAAATCTAGTATATTAGTGGCTGTCTGGAATACATTTCCGCACCGTAGCTCGCTGGGGCTGTGGGGACCTGCGTGGTGTGAGATCTGCTGAAACTAAAGCAATCTGTATCTCCCCCACCATCCCATGACATTCATTCCCTTCTACAAAGAGATCTGCGCACAGCTGTATTAGTCAGAACATGCGAGGGAGGCGTTTCCCAGTGGTTTCCCAATAATAGGAAATAATCATGGCCTTTTTTTCTGTATTCAAAACAGCATTTGGATTTTCTTTCAACTTTATGTGCTTTCAAATGAACTGACACTGACCTCTTTGCTTTTGTCCGAAGACTAAAGCAACACTCAGAAATGTTTTCATGAATGACCACTACAGTGGGAAGTTTAGCCCCGGCCAGTTGACCATGAAGATCTGAAATTTCCTGATGAACAACCCGCTGTTCTCATTTAATGTTTCAAACAGACAGTTAATGTCTGGAATGCTGTATCACATGTTAGTGAAGCTTTCATAGACCTGTTTATTGACGGCTCAAGTCAAACAAAGTTTGACATATTCAACATGTACAATTAGAAAAATCAATAAATGTATTTTTTATAGTTCCCTTTCCTCTTCACACAAGCCTCTCTATGTGTGCCAATAATATTTCATAGCCCCAATCTAAAAGAAACACATTTAGAAATCCAAATGAAACACAAACACTGTGCCCTAACCAGGCATGACATAAAATGACAAAAGCTATATTTTTCAGGTAAATTGATAAAAAAAAAAAACTGTGATTGTAACAAGTGTCAAGACATGTTGACAGTTGTTGGTTTCATTTCTGCAGTGTCACACAGAGTAGCCCCGCCCACAATTGTGTCCAAAATCAAGCTCCACATAACTGTATATTAAACATCAGATATCTTCATATTATTGATATACACAATAGTAATTCAAAGTGCTGTAAATAAAAAGGATTTTTAAAAAATCATAAAATAATTCGAACAGATGCATAAGACATACAACTAACAAAAATTATTTAAAATGTATTAAAAACAAATTAGAAGAAAAGAGATTATACAGTGCAATAAAAACGATGTAAATGATAAATAAAATCTTTTATTTAAGTCTATATAAATACATTTTGTTCACCCAAAAATCAAAATTATGTCATTATTTGCCAACCCTACTGTTCTTAACCTGTATGATTTTCATCTGTGGAAAAAAAAGATATTTTGAGAAATGTGATTTTTCCATACAGTGGAGTCATGATTTGGTTGCCAGCATTCTTCAAAATATCTTCTTTTAGATTCCATAGAAAGCAAGTCATGTAGGTTTGCAGCGACATGAAGGTGAGTTAAATGATGACAGAATCTTGTGGCTGTAATTTACAACAACAATTAAATCATTCTCTGGTTTGCAACATAGTAACAAAAGTGATGTTCATGACTTTTTGGCTCGGCACAGCTTATGTTTTCAATCATGATGAACAGAGGTGCGTTTTATTCAGGCAGAAGAGAGGAGATTGCAGCAGAGTGACAGAGCAGTGCTGTGGTTGTGTCACGATACGTTCGTCTGCGCGGGAGCTGTCACACTGCTGTCAGTGGACTGTGTGTTCATACACACACAAACAGAGCTCTGTGCTCCAGGCTCGACCCAAACACACACTCAGACAAGGTCCTGATTCAGCACAGCCAGTGTGCTTTTATTTTGCCGCACTCTTTTCTCTTTCTGTCTCCCCTCTTTTCTTTTTTTCCCCCCTCCTCTTTTTGAACAGCTCTGGAAATCTGATGCTTTAGTCATGTGTGCCTGAGCGCCTCAGCTGTATGGTAATCAAGCCCAGACAGAAAAATGGCCGCCTTCTTTGGTTGGCACCCCCCTCTCCTCCACCCCTCTTCTGCCACAGACAAAGAGTTGTTTGGACACCTGTTGAGAGTGGCGCTGAGATTAGAGCGTGGGGGAAGGGGTTGGGGTCTGGGCGGCACGGAGGTTAACAGAGGCCAACAGTGACTTAGGAACGCATTCCTGGGTGGAAGGAAGAGAGTTGGAGGGGGGCTGCAGCGGTTTCTTCTCCACTGCGTCGCTAATCACATGGCAAGACATTGATCAAATCCAGATGCGTTTGGAAGCCACCAGTGACGAATGCTGGTCAAACTGTCATTTGATGTTCAGCATGAAAGGGCAGATTGTTTGTTGCCATATCCACATGTTAATAAGCCATTTTGTTTTAGTTGAAAGTTTTTCTACATATAAATGCTGACAAATGATGTCTGGGTGTCTATTTAAAAATTTTATAAAACCGATCTTTCAAGTCAGCTTGAAATCAAAATTAATTTACTCCCCTTTACTGTTCACAATGCAACAGTGCATTTTTTCTAAAGGAAAAAAAAATGTTGTTTTCAGATTTTCATAAAAATGTAATAACTGACATAACCAAGGCAGTGCAAGGTCCTAGTTCATATTTGCCAATGGTAATTTTTTTAAGGAAATTAATAATTTTATTCAGCAAGGACACGTTAAATTGTACAAAATTGACAGTAAAGACATTCATATTGTATTTGTTACTAAAGTATTCTATTTTAAATAAATGCTGTTCTTTCATACTATCTACCTTCAGTCTGTGTGCATTGAATTTATTTAATACACGAGTTTCACAATTTGAGTTGAATTACTGAAATAAATGAACTTTTCCACGACATTCTAATTTATTGAGATGCACCTGTATTCATAAAAAAATCCTGAAAAAAGGTATAGCAGATTCCACAAAAATATTAAGCTGTATTCAACAACTGTTTTCACCATTGATAATAATAATAAGAATGTTTCTTGTGCACCAATCAGCATATCAGAATGATTTCTGAAGGATCATGTGACACTGAAGACTGGAGTGATGCTGCTGAGAATTCAGCTTTGCATCACAGGAATTTTAAAATATATTTAAATGGAAAACAGTTATTTTAAATTGTAATAATATTTCACAATATTATTATTTGAACTGTATTTTTTCAAAATAAATGCAGCCTTGGTGAGCCTTCTTTAAAAAAAAAAATATGTAAAAAAATCTTCCTGACCCCAAACTTTTGAATGATAGTGAAGACGTTGTTTTACGCTGCTGTTGTAGGTATTGTAGCCTTCCCAAATTCTTGCCAATAGTTAATTTAGTAGTAATTTAATATGTAGGAGCAATTTATGTTTACAACATTAATAGCCAGTAGTGAGAGATTTGAAAATGTCTAAATCATGTGAACCATAAATTTCACATCCCACCAGAAAGCCACCTTTATTGTTTTTATTATTATTATTTTTAAGTAAAAGAAATTTAATATGAATTAATTAGTTATAATTAAGATAAAACATTATATACAATAAAAACATATTGTATATACACAGTATCCAAAACAATACAGTATACAATATACATTTATGTGCTTGATGTTAAAATGTTTTTAAATGGCTTGTTGTTCGCTGCTTCCCTTCTGCCACTATCCCTGAAATCCAATATAGTCTGAAGCGGGGCAGCATCCAGTACAATGTCATGTTACAATCAACCTGCCTCTCAAAGACTCATGATAGACACACGCTTTCAAATTGAAAACAACATGAGAGTGTTTTTGGTGGGACAGAGTCAGAACTCAGGACTGAAGTGCCGTGTCTCTCTGAGCAGGAATTTGGGGCTGTGAAGGTCATTCTTTGTAATGTGAATACCACTCAGTTCTTCAGAGGGGAGGTTACACTCTACAGTAGGGACACAGAGACTCTCTCAGCTTTGAAGTCCAAGATCTGTCTCTCCCCCGATTTAATGTAAATCACTTTTGTTTTCTCGGCACTGATCAGATGGCTTCATGATCAGAGGGACTCTGATGTTTTGCTCTGTCTTGTGTATTTATGGCTATCTGTTCTGACAGGGCTCTGTTCACCGCGAAGAGACCGTCAGCCTGAACAACAACCACGGCGGCCTGCAGGCCAACACCGGTCCCACCTCCAGTTCGGAGCTCAACCACCCGGCAGACACGTTCAGAGGTTGGAAGCTTTTTTTTTAAGCCACTTTATTATAAGTTATTGTTTTGTTTTTGTATTGGTCGTGTGTGCCTCTTCAGTTATGATTCATACGCAGTTTTATGACCTTACAACAAGTCACAAAGCACTGTATTTTAGATGTCAAGTGTTTATTTTAAGTATCTGTGTACTTTCATTGTGTGTGACAGCAATCGCTAGCGCTCTGGCCGGTCAAATTGCTTCTCCTCTGGACCTGAAGATCGAGAATCAAGAAAAAGATGAAATGCACGATAACCAATCCTCCGACGACCTCAAATCAGACGATGAGAGTGATAAGAGGGATATGAAGCAAACTCGGGGAAGCACTCGTCCAAGGCAAGGCAACCGCTCATCAAAGCGTTCAAAATTATCGATTTTTCTTTTATGCCAAAAATCATTAGGATATTAAGTAAAGATCATGTTCCATGAAGATATTTTGTAAATTTCCTACCGTAAATATATCAAAACCTAATTTTTGATTAGTAATATGCATTGCTAAGGACTTCATTTGGACAATTTTAAAGGCGATTTTCTCAGTATTTAGATTTTTTTTGCACCCTCAGATTCCAGATATTCAAATAGTTGTATCTCGGCCAAATATTGTCCTATCCTAACAACCCATACATCAAAGGAAAAGCTTATTTATTCAGCTTTCAGATGATGTATAAATCTCAATTTCAAGAAATTGACCCTTATGATTGGTTTTGTGGTCCAGGGTCACATATAGATTAGTTCAGGTGTTGAGGCCACATTGGTCCCTCCATCTTGTCTAAGCGTTGTGAATGTTTCTGCAGCAGTGTCAATGAAGACGAGGACCTGAACCCCGAGCAGAAGGCAGAGCGCGAGCGAGATAGGAGGATGGCCAACAACGCCCGAGAAAGGCTGCGAGTCCGGGACATCAACGAGGCGTTCAAAGAGCTGGGCCGCATGTGTCAGCTGCACTTGAAGAGCGAGAAGCCCCAGACCAAACTGCTCATTCTTCACCAGGCCGTCACTGTCATTCTCAACCTCGAACAGCAAGTCAGAGGTCAGGCACTGTCCTGCATAATGCAATTGTGTTGTGTTTATATAAGGTCTGTCAGTCAGTTAAAATATTGAATTATTGTTAATCATAGTCTAAAACATTGATTTTTTTTTTATGTAAAAAATGTGTTAACTGTGTTAAAAATAACAGCGTTAAACAAATGTAGTTAATTCTATGTGGCAGCCATGCTGTCGACAAAGTGTTACATATTTTTCTTTTTTTTCTTTTTTTTTACACTATTATGGATATATATTGTCTTTACCTGCCATACAGAGTTGTTCACAAGCTGCATGCACAATAAAGAGCAGCCTCATCATTGACAAACGATAGAAGACGTTTGCAATTTTGTTTCATACAGTGCATTGTAAAAATCCACCTCATCCAGCACTCTTTTTGTTTTCTGACTTATAAAGTATCCTGTTTTGGTGTGAGAAACAAACAGTTTAGTGTGTGTGAGTGAACTGTCTGAATGTAGCAGATTGAATCGCAAACAGTTGCAGACCTTATTGCAAAATCATCTGACTGATTAGATCAATAGTTATTAATTCACAAATCTGGCATCACTAGTTCTGATTCTAAACAGACACATGATTGCTGAAATATTATCAGTAAACATGATTCTCAGGTCGGTATGGTAATCTCCACTGTCAGGTTTATCAGTAATATTATGCTAGGACCCTTGACAACAGCTCTAATTTATATTAATCAGTTCAACAGATCTCAAAGAACTGGATTCATAAGGCAATGAAAGCTTTATAAAAGTGTTATGATTCCTTTTTTTCCATATTTTTTATGAGCTATGGTGAGATAATATAAGTTCTCCTGTGTGCAGAGAGGAACCTAAACCCCAAAGCAGCCTGCCTTAAGAGGAGGGAGGAAGAGAAAGTGTCAGGGGTTTCAGGTGACCCCCAGCAAGCCCACCCGCCTGTGCACCCGGGCCTCACAGACACATCCAACCCCATGGGCCATCTGTGAACAGCCAGGTATACACGAGCAGCTCCACACAGAGATGTTAAATGGGCAGGTGGTTAAAACACGACACCACAAGCAGGATGTTCTTTGCTTTGCTGAGACACAAGCTCTGCTGCAAAACCCAGTGAGCTGCATCCTTGCCTGCCTTCCTTTAGGGACATTTATATTGGAAATGCACACGATGCCTTAAACTAGGTTTCGGAATGCACTGACTGATTTAGACTTTATAGTAAGATATTATATTACTCCTGATGTATCCAGTTATAGTACTATTTAAAATTTTGGTGTCTGTAAGATTTTTGAACATTTTTTGACAGAAGTCTCTTATGCATTTAATTAATCGAAAATACAGTAAAAACTATGAAATAATATAATTTCAAATTCTAAACTTTAAAAAACTCTTCTTTTTTTAAAATGTAATTTATTCTTGTGATGCAAAGCTGAATTTTCAGCAGTCATTAATCCAGTCTTCAGTGTCAAATGATATGCTAATATGCTGATTTGGTGCTCAAGAAACATTTTTCAGCATTATTATCAGTGTTGAAAACAGTTGCTGCTTAATATTTTTGTAGAACCCGTGATTCATTTCTTTCAGGATTTCAGGATGGATAGAAAGTTCAGAAGAACAGCATTTATTATGAATGTCTTTACTGTCACTTCTGATCGATTCAATGCATCCTTGCTGAATGAAAGTATTAATTTCTTTAAACAAAATCATACTAACCCCAAACTTTAGAATGGTACCATATATACACATGAGAATGTGATTTGAGGGTCTACAGTTGGTCATAAGCAGTGTCCTTATCTTTCCCTCACTTTCAGATCAAATAAATGGAGTGTGTTAGACAGTCGGCGACCTTGCTTTCCACGGGCGGACAGGACTCACAGTTTGTGACACAAATTTGAAAAGACAGACCACTCGAAGCAAAATTCCACCGTTAAGCAATCCTGAGATAGAAGAAAACTGGCAAGTGCCCAGCTCCCTGTGAAGACATCCCATATCGATAAGCAACTTTCTGCCCACCGGAGAAAAAAAAAAATCATATCAAGCATAAAAGCCCCTCAGCACATATCGCTGTCTGCAAGCCGTGTGCCGCAGCTGTACAATCAGAGACTGTCGCCACCCCCTCCACCCTGTACGTGGAAGATGCCTTGTGCCTAAACTGAATTGATGAATGCATTGTAACAGCAGTTGTTGTTGTTTTGGTTTCTTTGTCTGTTTGTTTTTTCCTATTTATTATGTTACTGAGCTGTAAGTCTATGTTTAAAGGGAAAGTTCTGCCATTGCTCTGAGAAGCTGGTGGCGTTTCAGTAGATCTGCAGTTTGTCGTGTGCTGTCCGCAGCCTCTCTCTCCTGTCGGTCTGTGGAAGGGCCTCTCCAATCGATGAGATTACCGTATTCAGATCAAATCGCATGCCCTCGTGAAAGAATCTGATGGTGTTTGAGCGTTCAAAGACTCAAGGATCCCTGTGTCTAAAAAAAGAAAAAGAAATAATATATTATTTATATTTATCATACATTCATTCCACAAATAACAGCATGAGAAACCAAAACTACCTAATTCTTTATGACGTTTGTTGATAGTGTAGCTCAGAGTCCTCATCCCAGACAGAAAGTTATGAACAGCCTGTGCTTTTTCGACCAGATTCCCTGTGACGTGGAGACGATGGTGGAACGGCAAACTCTGGCTTTACTGAAAGGTCAAAGGTCAAGCACAAGCTGACATGTTTATACTCATTAGTGAGCAGTACAGATACAGAAAGCAGAAAGTTACAAAACCCCAGCATTCCCTGCATATTTCTTAGTGTCTTAAACAGGAAAGGGGACGCAGTCTCGTTCTTTTGATTCCTTTGCCATATAGTGTTAAGGGTAAAGCGAAAGACGTATTTCCGATTCAGTTTGTATTCAAGCGTTACTTTATTTGGTCGAAGAGCCGTGGTTATGCCGAGGCCATCTGTACTGAGGAATCTCTGTTATACCGCGAGACATGGCACTGTTGGAAAAGAGTTGGATTTAAAACGAAGACCATTCATTCACCTGGCCTGAATTGAAGTTTTGTTTTGTGTTCTTTTCTTTTTCTAAAACCATTAACAATTAAAAAAAGAGAAAAAAAAGTAACCACATGTTATTTTTGTTTATTTGTAATTGTATACAAAGCAGCTCTCTAGGCTTCATAGTAAAGCGTATATTTGTCTTGTGAAAATAGAAGGATGTTCTAAGTTACTTAGAATGGCTTTGTCTTTCCCCTCATGCATTGAAGTACTTGATACTTGATCAGCAGAATGTGAGCGCAATGTCTGTTCGAAAAAAGAGAAGCTCTATGAATTCAAATCCAAATCAGCAAACAGTGGAAATGATGAACAAAGCCAGTTTGGATCAGGATTTTTCACTGCCATTATTTGTTTTCTTTGTAAATCTAAAGAAAGCAGCAGTCACCACTTTCATTTTATAAAGTATGCGTTTTTCTTTAAGACCAAAACGGACTTTTTTTTTTTTTAAACGTCTTGCTTTGGAACTGTTTTTCTGTCCTGTCTGTTTGTCTTCCATGTGTTCACACCATTGAAACAAGACTGCCACATTCTCTATGAATCACTCTCTCGAATACGAAGTCAAAAGAACAAAACTTAAAGAAAGATTTCAGAACATCAGCATTATTTTCCTTCTGTGTTTTTTTTTTCTCTCTCTTTGCTTTGTGGAGAGTTTCCTTCCTTAACAAAATGATCGTGAAATCCACTAGTCTTTGTGGCCTTGTTATGCATTTCAGTATTCAAGAGCTTGTATTTTTGCCGGCTGAAAATTAATCAAGGTTATGAGTCATCTTTTTGTCCGTTGTTTTGTTTTCCCTGTTGTTTTCCATCTTTTTATTTTTTTCTGTTCTGTTTTTCCTCTGTTGGATATGTTAGATTTTGCTGTATGCCCTGATGCTTTCCCTCATAACAAAAAAAAATGTATGAAAAGGATAAAAAAAAAAAACATTTGGCTTATTTTTCACTATAGTTAGTCTTTTATACAATAATATTGTAAGAACATTTCTTGAATTCTAAATATTACTCTTTCTAGATTTTTGAAATCAAAAGTTTTGAGTAAAAAGTTTCTTACTTTATTTTACTATATTAGATAGTAAAAAAAAAATGTACGGTTATTTACCATAACCTGTCCATTATTATAAAAAAGATTATGGATAGCATCTTAAGAACATAAGTAGGATTGTAGCTGGCAGTCTAGTATGTATGGGGTATTGTACGAGCTCGATGTTTCAGAGGATGTGCTCTCCATCTCTGTCTCCAGTCTGCATTGTTGGTTGATGAACGATTTGTACCCATGTCAGAATTCAAGGTATTGTCAATGCACATCAGAAAACCAGCAGTAAGAAGTCAAATTCTTTTTTTTTTCTGTCTCTGTAACAGAAACACAATATGTATATAACATTTATGTAGCAATAAATGTGCCATCTTTTTTAACTCAATTGTATGTGCCTTTATTTTCCTCTTTCAGCATTTGTTTTTTTATCTACAACTTTATACAGCAAAACTGGATTAAAATACATAACTTCCTTTCACTCAAATCTGAATTATAGAGTTAAACATTGGAATTGTGTGTGCTGGGCTTTTTATACATATACAAATAAGCTTTACAAGATCTGTCATCATTTACTCACCCTCATGTCGTTCCACACCTGTATAACTGACTTTGTTCTGTGGAACATAAAACAATATATTTTGAAGAATTTTGGTAACCAAACAGTTCCCATTGACTTCCATTGAATGGCCAAAACATATAATGGAAGTTAAAGGAAACCAAAACTGTTTGGTTACAAATTCATCAAATTATCTTCTTTTGTGTTCAGGGTGAGTGATTGATGACAGAATTTTCATTTTTGGGTGGACTTTCCTATTAAGTCTATTTAAAGAACTTCACAAACACTGTTGTTCAAAAGCGCTATGAAACCCTTTTCTGTTTTCAGTGTAGTGTGAAAACACACAATGTGATATTTGAAGGGGAAAAACGGTGTAGTCCGTTTGGCTTTTATTGTTTGAAAAAAATTTCTTTGCACTGAGTGAAATCATTTTCTTTTAAGAGTAATTCAAATTTCAGTTGTAAGAGTTGAACATCTGTCTTTAACTTGACTGAAAGACAAACATACTTTGTCTCTAGTGAATGATCATGGGAAAATAACACTGGAGAATGACAGTCTTGACTGATGCTCTTTCATTGTGGGGTGTGTGCATATTCCCACGTATTCCCAGTGTTAATTGACTTCGCTTCCTAATTTAATTATTTGTTTTTCCCATTTCTGTCAGTTATGAAATATGGGAGCACCTGTTTTGTCCCAGTAGTGGTGAATGGTTTACAGCCAGAGTCTTTCTGCGCAATGCAACTTCCACCATACCACATGAAACTCAAGAAACAGTTTGCTCTGTTTATTTCTCATTTTTCATCTCATCCGTACATTTTTATGCAATGATATCAGTCCTGGCTGTCCAATTAAACTAAATCCCAGTACTCATCTCCTTGGCTTACACATTTGCCCTATATTATGTCTCTGTACATGTGTGCGAGAGACGCTTTCTCATTGGATTTGTCCTGCGCTGACAGGTTGGGCCCCAGATCTGCTCTGAGACAGAAACGGCACTGGGGAAGAGGTTGCTAAATACTGGAGAGACCTCGGCCAATTCCGACTCTGTCAGCCTTCCAACACAACACCTCATCCATAGGCCGCTCCAACTCCGCTGGCTGGGTGGGAAGGCTTTGTCCCATTTCCTCCGTGTGTGTGTGTGTGTGTGTTTGTATGACTGTGTGCATATTCCTTCCTGCCTTTATCAAAACCGTGCACTGGAGTGTTTACTTGCAGTCAACTAGAAAAAATGAGCAATGTTTTATAAGCATGGGACCACCATGTTTGCGAGCTAACTTCCTGTGGATCTGGCTGTCTGGGACAGCCCAGCGAGGGAGTGTCATGGTGGGCTTGCTGAGAGGAGCATTTTGGCTTCTCCTGCTGGAAAACAAACAAGGTTCTCTCAGGCTGACATGCATTTGATCATGACGTTCCTGCTGACTCTTTTCCTTTCAGTGAAATCGCTACTGGGTTTACATTTGATGACCACAGTTATGGTTCTGTGTACCAGACTTTTATATTTACCAGATTTTAAAATTCATAAACTGAATTCTTTTAAACAGGTACTAATGCAATAGTATTACTAATACTTGCTTATATTGCAGTATACCAGTTTTACAGTGCTGCTATATCAGCCAACCCGTGGCCCTACACAAATTCTGTTCACTTGGTGTCCCATTACCTTTTTAAGTGATGCATTTAAAGTGAGAGCTGTTGATAAACTATTATCTAGCATAAAATTAATCTAGGATGAAAAGTAGCTTTAAAAGTTGATATCCACTCCTTGAAATTAGCATTTTGGTCAGTGCAGTGTCAGAGGTCTTGACTTTCTAAATTATATGCAAGTCCAACAAGTTAAAATCATACATTCTTGCTTAATCTACTGAACTGATATTAAATATTTTTAATTATGAACTAATTTGAATCTAAAAAATTTATGGATGTAGCTACAGCAAGCAACTTAATTATTTGCAACTATTACCGACTGTCATGAAACTGCACATATACACAAAGGCTGAGGATCCAGGGGCCCGTTCTTCGTACGTCGCTAACTCAGTTAGCTAGATTTGATTGTTGACGATTTGGCATGATCTTGGATTATTTGGTTCTTCAAAGCTCATCCTGGACTTGCTGTCATAGCAACAGGTCCGTAAACTTAAACCTGCTCGGGAGCAGGCTTATTTCATGTAAACAGGATTAGATTGCATCTTGTGGAATTGATATTTAAAATCCATCCCAGCCACTGCTACTTTATTACAAGATTACCCTATAATCCGGGGACAATCATTTAAAATAATAATAATTTAAAAATTAATTCGAAAATAATATTATAATGTTGTGTAATCTATAATACAATAGACATTGAAAGATTTATTCGTGATAAAATAATAACTTTATAATTGTATTAAAGTTTTACACACATGCTGTACAGTTAATCTGAGTCGTGCATTAATTTGAGTGATGACAGCTATTATGGGAGTGGCTTGATGGAGCCCAGGAGATGCAGATAACTTGATCTTGACCCTTAAGAAATTTTAATTAATGCTGTCACATAACAAATCTGCTTCAAAGATAAAATTACATGAATCGCTAATTACAACATTGAAAAAAATATATAAAGCCTGTACAAATACTAGAAATTGTGAATATAAATAATTGTGAATCATGTAATAAATAAATAAATAAATAAAATTAAAGAAGTGCACATTTCACTTAGCCTATCTATTACTGTTACGGGGCTGACGAGACGAGAGGCGTGCGGATCCAAGTGCAAGCTTTTATTAATAAACAGTCAAAAACACAGGCAGGGTCGAACAACAGCAAACATGTATGGCACAGGCAAGTGAATTATTTTTATCTCCGGTGGAGATAAAAAAAAAACATCCCCCCGCCCCGGGTGATGCTGCTAAACCAACAGGCCATATTAAACCAAAAATAAAAGTGTTTTTAAAACATTGCCAAATAAAAAGCTGCAACATGATAGCAAAAACAACAAAATCAGAAATGGACTTCTGCTGTCAGCGCTCCCGCTTTGTGATATTCGCGCCTTGGACACGTGATCCTGGTTCAGGCGCCTTTAATCCAGGAGGGCTTTTCACAATGACAGCAGCATGACGTTATGAGGTTAATACAATGTTTCTCCTCAAAACTCTTTTAGAACTTCGAGTGTTTGTAATAACTTTCTATTGTGACCCAATGTGGATTTGGTATATAATATTATGACACAAATGTATTTTGAGTAGCTTTTTATAGAATAAATACTACACCGGTTGCATTCCTAGGCTACTTTATTCTTTTAAAAATACCCCAAAATGCATGGAACACACATAAACCATTTACTGTTGTAATCGAAAATCTATTAATGTTTCACCTGTGTTTGGGTGGGAATTATGATCACACAATACTGATTGATGGATCTGCAGGGAATCATCTGTCTACCAGTCATCAATCCTGTAAAAAGGCGAGGCAGACAGTGGATGAACTTCATTCTCATCAGACTGCACAATTAATGGAAATTAATAGAAATGATGCATAACATAAAGTAAACACGTGAATAGCAATAAAGCCATTCAATAAAGGATGGTGAGTAGCGGAGCCCTTTGTTCAAAAATAAATGGGCGCAAACCTGACTAAATATGTAGACATCTCTTTATTTTATTCAAAATATAAAAAACTACCAATTGATTTGCATGATCGACAGCTGAAAACTCATCTCTTTCGAAGCTACTTGACTTCATCATCATAAAAAAAAAAATAATAAAAAAAAATAAAATTCCATCTCTTTATCTATTCCTTCTCTTTCTAGCGTGTACGTATTTGAACAATGTCTAAAAACTTGGTATTACAAGCACTTCCTGTATCTGTTTGCATCTTTTAAGAAGAATGGCTTTATGTATCCCCCAATTGTAAGTCGCTTTGGATAAAAGCGTCTGCTAAATGTCTAAATGTAAATGTAAATGTAAATCTTGCATTCCTGGCAGGCTGACAGAAATTAAGAAATTACCAATAACCAATAATTAAGATATCCAATCTATTTATTCAAAGTTTCTCAGGATCAAATAATAATTCAAATGATTCTATAATTCTAACTGTAACAGCTGGAGCGTGTGTAAGGCTGGACTAGGCTTTGCGTTCCTCTGGCCACAGATTGGAAATTAATAGGGACTTGGGGCAAAAATGCTATCAAATTGGACAAAAATGCCCCTGCACAAGTAAACTAAATCTATTACGGCTGTCGCGAATAAAGTGAAAATGAAATGAAAAGTGTCGATTGCGGCATTAAATTTAGATGTGCATCATGCATTTAGATGTTGCATCACATTGCTTTTTAAGTGTTTTTACAGTGTTGCGCATTTTGACCAATCACACACTATTCCGTTGACTTTATGAATGCAATGGCCAATCAGAAGCGTTCAGATGAGTCATCGCTGAAACACCGGAGTTTATTTTTGGGCGCGCTCTCGTTGACTGAATTCTGCACTCTAGTTCTCTCATCTTAAACAACAAAGTGCAGATGTGCGTACGATGTAAGTAAGAGATTCATCATCATGTAGACTATAGACAGCTTCAGTGTTTAACGGGGGAGTTTTTTGAGAGTCCTTAAACTCGCGCTAGACTGAAGTCAGTGATAATATTCTTTGATAATGTAGCCTACATTTTCTTTGCTCGCTTTCACTATAATTTATTCGTTGTTTTCAAAAGCATCCCCATTGTGCTTTCTTCACAAATCGCACCCTGAGTATAACCAGTGTTGGGAAGGTTACTTTGGAAATGTAATAGGTTACAGATTACAAGTTACCCTACTTAAAATGTAATAAGTATTGTAACTTTTCAATTACTTTATTA